GGGGAGAACGCCCACCAGGTTTGCATCATACCTGTCTGACTAGGAACCCACGGAAGTACAGTCACCTATGAGGAAAAAATCCTCTCCCACCCTGGCCCCCAACTGCTGCATTTGCCAACCATATCCTACCACTAACCAAACAAAAAAAAGATGAGAGAGAGAGAGGGAGAGAGAGAGAGAAAGGGCGTGCACGCATGCCCCACGGGAAAGAACTGCCACAGGACACAGCGCCTCCGAAGGTCAGCCCAGTGGGCCTCTCTCTATCATGACACTGAATTACGCCTCCTGAAAAAGGACCTTTTGGCGGCTGCTCCAAGCCCTCCTGTGGCGAGGTGAGGTCAGTCCCCAGTCCCGGAGTCCTGCTGAGTCGGCTGAGGGAGAACCCTCATTCCCCGCCCCCCGCCTCTGAGGGGTGAGCCTGTGGGCTGTGCTCAGCAGGAGCCCCCCACCCTGATGTGGCCTCTCAGCAAGTTTCCACCCACTGACCCACCCTGCTCACCGGCCGCACAGCCCCAGGGTCTGCTGTGCCCAGGCCTGAGCCTGGTCTCTCTCCTGCTGCAACAGCCCTGAGCACAGTCCCCCTCACCGCTTCAGCGAGTGTCAGAGTAACTTTTTCTTTAGTCTCTCCTCTGTTCGAGGAAAGGACGATTCTTCCTTCCTCTGAACAAGTCACCATGAGAGACTCCAGGAAAACTTGGGGGTTGTGATCCTGAGGCCAAAGGCACACACTCCAAGAGGGAAGGGGTGCTGGCCCAGCCGGAGGGTCCACTGGGAGCAGCTCCCTGAGCTAAAGAAAAGGGTGTGGCCAACAAGGAAAGGGGAGGGGGAGCCTTGTTCCCCCTTATCTCACTGGGGAAGTCATGAAACTAAGTCAAAGCTCTTCATCCGCCCCTGGGAAACGTAGCAGGGTGGGGCTCGTCTGCACTGCCACCCACTCGGAGCAGCACAGAGGCGCAGACAGATCCCCTCCCGCGGCTCCGCAGCTGAGCCACGCAAAGCTGGACGGCAGAATACTGGCGATTTCAGATGGTTCAACAAAGCTAAAAGGAGCAAGAGCTTGGGAGGTAGACTGGTGAGGTTGGAGAAGAACTGGCAGGAGGTGGGACAGTCCCGTCTCTCAGGCCACAGTGCAGCCGCCCNCAGGAGGTGGGACAGTCCCGTCTCTCAGGCCACAGTGCAGCCTTTTGAATGCCTGGCCGTGCCAGGAACTGCACTCACCACGAGGGAAAGGTCGTGATCCGCACAGCCGAAAGAGGGTGACGGCCGTGTGGGGAAGGGGGGTGCGGCGGGCCCCACACAGAGGGTTCTCCGGGCCCTGTGAGCACACGGGGAGGGGCTGAGTTTGGAAGAGTGGGAGACATCGGAAAAACTTCCTAAAAAGGTCTTGACAGTTGCCTGTAATGTTGCCGGGCAGGTTCAGGAAAGCAGCGAAGTGGGGGGGGG